GATCATCCTATCCAATGATTTGACTTCCGTGTTTCTATTAATATGATCTGTCTAGCATAGCAGAGCACTAGCAGTTTTAGCAGCCAAACCATTCTGCTGGATTCTATTAAATTTATGAAAAATGAATCAATCCTCTGACTCTTCTCCCTCAAAGTTCTGACTGCTATGGATGGTTGGTCTGTGCAATGTGAGGAATGTAACAAATACCCAAGGGGAAGACCAAGTTGTCTTCATATCATTTTTCTCCAGCGGCAGCAGGGCTGACAACATACTTCCTCTCCAAGAAGTTTTTCCTTTTGGTTTTACAGAGTTTATGATGGAGAGCGAGGCCAGGGCTAAGACAAAATATCTTTCTTTCACTCAGTCCTGATTTTTTGGGTTAAGTTTTGGGCTGCTAACTGAAAGATCAGTGGCTCGAACCCAACAACCTCTCCATGGAATGAAGATGAGACTTTCTGCTTCCATAAAGATTTATGGTCCCGGAAACCCCTTGGAGCTGTTCCACTCTGCCCGAGAGAATTGATATGAACTGGAAACAACTCAACAGTAGCAGGTTTTGTATCTGGCCATGAAAAGAGACTCTAAAACTTGTATGATGTTTTAAGTGGTGGAAGATATTAAAAGATCCCCAAGTGATGTGCTGCAGCCATTTTGTCATAAAGACCCAAGAAAAGAATGGGAAACAGCTTTTAATTGAAGAGAGACCCTGCACTTTCCCTTCCGGAAAAGCTAAGCCTTCCTTCGATGAAAACATAAAGGCTTTCTAGACTGAAAGTTTCCCTGTATTCTGGGTTATTGAAACTCTACAACTCGCTAGACATTCAAAATCTGACCAATTATTGGGACAACTGGGTCAATTTCGTACTGGGTGTCTGGAGATTTCTGAGTGTTATCAATAGTTGCTGTGATGTTCTTAAGTGCTGTCTAGTCAGTTCAGACTTAGGGACTCTTTGTATGGTTTCTGAGGAGCTGCTGGTGAGTTTGAACCACTGACCTTGTGGTTAGCAGTCCAACGCCACATTGGCATTAGATAATTGTCCATTGGATGAATACATTTAGTGTGGGTGTTTACAGCCAGACCAGAATCTGAGAATTGATCAAGTTAAAACTATATATATATAAGAGAGAGAGAGCGCTCTGGTAGCGTAGTGGTTATGAATCGGGCTGTGAACCACAGGTCAGCAGTTCGAAACTACCAGCTGCTCTGTGGGAGAGAGATGAAGCTTTCTGTTCCCGTAAAGATTTACAGCCTCGGAAACCCT